AGTATCTTAGAAATTCTCTGGTTGAACTGCCTCTATATCACTTTATAATAAAGAAAAGAAAACTAAGGTCCAAAGACATTAAGTAATTTGAATCCAAGCTAATCAACCAAAAATATTTGGGCAGTGCTTTTCTCCATATTCAGAGGCTGGAATTAGAGAATTAATTTTTTTATACATTTGACAAGTTTTCTTCTATTTTAACAATTTACAAATTGTGATGATATTGTCATGTATGTTGTTAATACAGGTAACTCATACATGTATAGGACTAATCTATCAGGGTATTTTATTTTTTAAAGACTTATTTATTTGAGAGAAAGAGAGCATGAGCAAGGGGGAGGGGGCAGAGGAAGAGGAAGAAGCAGACTCCCCACTGAGCAAGGAACCTGACACAGGGCTCCATCGCAGGACCCCAGGATCATGGCCTGAGCCAAAGGCAGACGCTTAACCGACTGAGCCACCCAGGTTGCCCCATCAGCGTATTTTAGATAGAAGAGGTTTTCATTCTGTCTGGTGATCCAATTGCTTAGTTTATAAAAATTATCTAATATCATTTATTATTTTCATATAATAATAAATAATTTGTATACATTTTATACATTAATACCTAATTTAAGAATTTAATATATGTATCCTTTATTAGTTATTTTTTTGAAGTTAGTATTTAGAGACTGGTAAGATTAGGAAGAAGATTCAAGGCTTAGAAAAGAATGCTTTGACTAGATAATGTAGCAAAAGTGCTAGGATATAAAAGCAAGAACTATTTTTTTTTTTTAAGATTTTATTTACTTTGTGTGTGAGAGACAGAGAGGGAGAATGCGCACGAATTGGGGAGGGGGAGCAGAGGGAGAAGCAGACTCCCTGCTGAGCAGGGAGCCCAATGCAGGACTCAGTCCCAGGACCCTGGGATCATGACCTGAGCTGAAGGCAGACGCTTAACCAACTGAGCCACCCAGGTGCCCGAGCAAGAACTATTCTTGATGGTGATTTAATTGTGGACTCTCAGGAACCAATGGGCCTAAACTATTCAGTACTATATTAATACATACTTTGCAATTCTACAATACAATTATATAAAGGAAGTTGAGTAATAACTAGCATTATTGACAGTGGACTAGTTACAGTCTCTTTTGATAAATGTCAAGATCTAAAAGGGGAAGAAATTGAGACTGATGGCCCGTGAGAAGACAGGTCAGCTATTTCAAGAAAGAAACACCTTTTTAGTTAAACTTGTAAGTATTCATATGCTATGAATGGTAATAGCTTTCAACAAAACCCTCCCAGAATTTACCCATCTTAAAATGTCATTTGGAGAATAAGACTGTGATTTCTCTCCCAGTAAGTAGCCACTCTAATATATGATTTATATAAAATAAATTGTAGGGGCGCCTGGGTGGCTCAGTCAGTTAAGCGTCTGCCTTCGGCTCAGGTCATGATCTCGGGGTCCTGGGATCGAGCCCCGCATCGGGCTCCCTGCTCAGCCGGGAGCCTACCTCTCCCTCTACCTCTCCCTCTCCCCCTGCTTGTGCTCTCTTTCACACTCTCTCTCTCTCTCAAATAAATAAAATCTTTAATAAATAAATAAATAAATAAATTGTAAAACCTAGATATTATATAATATAATGGTGTATTAAAATATACCCTGGTAAGGATATACATAGAAGGGTCAGATCTATTCAGTGGAAAATTGGCTGGAAAGAACTTTTAGGTTTTCTTTTAAAATTATTTTAGGGCAAGGTAGACCCTGACTGGGTATTAAAAATATTTTAGGTAATGAGGATGTATGGGTGAATAAAACATGGCTCTGTCCTCAAGGAGCTTGAAATACATTAAGACAGATAAGTAAATAGACACACAACTACAGTTAGATATATAAAGTGCTATGATAGTGGTAAATGCAGTATTCTATGGAATAACATAAAAGGGGTACCTCATACAAAGTAAGGAAAGATCATTACTTTCCATGATATGAATCCTCAAGCACTTAGCACAGTACGGAGCATGTGGTAGGTATTCAAATATTTGATGAACTGGAACCTACTTGATTAAAAAAAATGAGATATCACCTCATAATTTTTGCTTAAAGCAATGTCTTTATAAACTGTATATGCCAAAATGTTTTTCTTTATGAATACTTCTCATGTTGCTATAGTAATTTCAGTGACCATATAAATTAATCAGTATCTACAGCTAATTCTTAGATGTAACTGGTAGTAGACAATAGGTAAGATTTCCTATTTTAGCTTAGGAACAACTGTGTCGCAGTGCTGGACACATAGTAAATGTTCAAAAATAATAATTAGTTTTTTAAAGCTTCAGAGTTTATTCAATGGTTTCTTGTCATTGTAAATGGCAAGATTTCATTCCTTTTTATGGCTGAATAATATTCCATTGTGTATATGTGTGTGTGTGTATGTATGTGTGTGTATATATATACCACAACTTCTTTATCCATTCATCAGTCGATGGACATTTGGCCTCTTCCCATAATTTGGCTGTTGTAGATAATGCTACTATAAACATCGGAGTGCATGTATCCCTTTAAATCAGTACTTTTGTATCCTTTGGGTAAATACCTAGTAGTGCAATTGCTGGGTCATAGGGTAATCCTATTTTTAACTTCTTGAGCATCCTCCATACTGTTTTCCAGAGTGGCTGCACCAGTTTGCTTTCCCACCAACAATGTAAGAGGGTTCCCCCCTTTCTCTGCATCCTCGCCAACATCTGTTGTTTCCTGTGTTGTTAATTTTAGCCATTCTTACAGGTGTGAGGTGATACCTCATCATAGTTTTGATTTGCATTTCCCGGATGATGAGTGATGTTGAGCATCTTTTCATGTGTCTGTTAGTCATCTGTATTTCTTCTTTGGAAAAATGTCTATTCATATCTTCTGCCCATATTTTAACTGGATTATTTGTTTTTTGGATGTTGAGTTGTATAAGTTCTTTATATATTTTGGATACTAACCCTTTATCCCAAATGTCATTTACAAATATCTTCACCCGTTCCAAAGGTTGCCTCTAGTTTTGTTGATTGTTTCCTTCGTTGTGCAGAAGCTTTTTATCTTGATTAAGTCCCAGTAGTTTGTTTTTGCTTTTGTTTCCCTTGCCTCAGGAGATGTATCTAGTAAGAAGTTGCTATGGCCGATGTCAGAGAGGTTACTGCCTGTGTTCTACTCTAGTATTTTTATGGTTTCAGGTCTCACATTTATTTATTTATTAAATATCGGCTTAGTTCTTGGTTTTAGAAGGACTGCCTGTAGCCATCAGTTTCAGTTTTTCTTGTCCATGATATCAGACATTCAGCCTTACAAGTGTGGACAACATCTGGAGTGAGGGGTTTTACAAGGAACACAGAGTAGCTGTTGCTTCATAGTTGGCACTGTCAGGTGTGATTATGGGGTCACAGTTAGTCTGAACCCCAAACACTCCCAGCAGCTTGGAATGATGGCCTAGGGGGTGTTTTTGTGTGGGGGGGTGGGTGTGTGTGGGTGTGTTTGTTTTAGAAGATGAAAGCTTTCAGGAGCAGTTTTCTTTTTTTTCATTTTTTTAACATATAATGTATTATTTGTTTCAGGGGTACAGGTCTGTGTTTCATCAGTCTTACACAATTCACAGCACTCACCATAATACATACCCTCCCCAATGTCCATCACCCAGCCACCCCTTCCCTCCCACCCCCGTATACTCCAGAAACCCTCAGTTTGTTTCCTGAGATTAAGAGTCTCTTACAATTTGTCTCCCTCTCTGGTTTTGTCTTGTTTCATTTTTTCCTCTCTTCCCCTATGATCCTCTGCATTGTTTCTCAAATTCCACGTATCAGTGAGATCATATGATAATTGTCTTTCTTTCGCTTCGCATAATATTCAGGTCTCACATTTAGGTCTCTCATCCATTTTGAATTTATTTTTGTGTATGGTGTAAGAAAGTGGTCCAGTTTCATTCTTCTGCATGTTGCTGTCCGGTTTTCCCAACACCATTTGTTGAAGAGACTATCTTTTTTCCATTGGATATTCTTTCCTGCATTGTCAAAGATTAGTTGACCATATAGTTGTGGTTCTTATTCAGTAATTTGTCTAACCCCACCACCAAACTCTCTAAAGGAATTTCTTGTTCTTAATTATTAAGATTAATTGTAGTGAGAGAACATGAGAAGCACGAATCTTGTGCAACAACAAATACTATATTAACCAGTGGGAACCCTGAGTAAATAAATGAAAGTCCTGTCTTTGGCAGATCTGAAGAAAAAATGGCTTATAAACCTTACATGGTATAGTAGGGATGCTTTACTGTGATTGGAGTTAGAACTAATGCATATGAAAAATTAGATGTCTGTACTAAATTCTGTGGTAGTGATGGTAAATACAACTTAATTCATTAATTGATTCAATAAATATTAGGCTTCAACTTTATGATGCACCCTACACTAGGCCAAGAGATAACAGATTTAAAAATATAGTCTGGGAATGAGGCAGGGAAACATAATCATGGCACAGTGTGATTCAATGCTCCAATAGAAATAAGTACAAAGTACTGTTGGTATATGAAAGAACAGCTAATGGTGCTAGCAGAAAAAGAAAAAATTTGTATGGATTGGGTTAGTCATATAGGCTTAATTTTTTATTTTAAATAAACAGGCAGTGTGATATCATTTTACTATGACTGTGTCTTGTTACCTGGTATGTTTTTAAGGAACTTGTATATTATATTTCTATTTTATGAAATGAGATTATAAACCCCCAAAGGCTTACTGATAAGTCATTTCATAGGTGAGCCTACCAGCGGCTTCCTACCTCTCGTTATACTACAGTACACCAATTATAAACTATATTCAAAGCCAGGTAGACCTAATTCACTGAACAAATAAGATATCTAGTCTACTATTTATTATATCTAACTAGTAGGAATAATTAATATGCTTTAAACATACAGGTGATAAAATTTCCCTTAAGTGTTAACTAGTTTTGGTCAATTTAACAGTCCTTTTTCTTTCTTATTAAGGGTCTACTGTATTTGCTGGTAACAGACCAGGGGTTTCTTACTGAAGAAAAAGTTGTTTGGGAAAGCCTACACAATGTGGATGGTGATGGAAATTTCTGTGACTCAGAATTTCATCTGCGGCCTCCTTCAGATCCTGAAACCGTATACAGAGGACAGCAAGACCAGATAGATCAGGTAAATTTGTCTTCTTCATATAGTTTAAAATGCTCTTGCTTTTGGGGCACCTGGGTGGCTCCGTCAGTTAAGTGTCTGACTTTGGCTCGGGTCATGATCTCTCAGGGTCCTGGGATCGAGCCCCATGTGGAGTCTGCTTGACCCTCTGCCTCTCTCCCTGCTCTTGCTTGCTCTCTCAAATAAATACATCTTTTTAACAGAATAAAAAATAAAATGCTCATTCCTTTCAAATGTGAATTCAGTTATCTAAAACTTCTGAACTAAAGATTCATTGTGAGATATTCCTGACATTTCCTAAATCGGCAAGTGATCATTTACATGTTATACATTGATCATACACTTTGGTTCAGAAGGCCAGATTATATTGAACTGTGAAGGCCATGGTACAGTTTGAATTTTATTCTGAACTGTAATAGGAAAGATATGCCAAGTGTTAAACATGGAAGTGAGATGATTTGCTTTACCTTTTTTATTTTATTTATTTATTTATTTATTTATTTTTAAAGATTTTATTTATTTGACCCAGAGAGACACAGCGAGAGAGGGAACACAAGCAGGGGGAGTGGGAGAGGGAGAAGCAGGCTCCTCACTGAGCAGGGAGCCCGATGCGGGGCTCGAGCCCAGGACCCTGGGATCATGACCTGAGCCGAAGGCAGACACTTAACGACTGAGCCACCCAGGCGCCCCTGCTTTACCTTTTTTAAAGGCTACTATGTGAAGAATGCATAGGTATGAACAGATGACACAGCTATAAGCAGAGACTAGCAATTCAAGCAAGAGGTGATGACGGCTTAGCCATGGTGGTAGAGACGAGCTGAGCACAGATGAGAGATATATTTAGCTAGTCAGAAAAAGTAGAAAAAAGAGAGGGTAAAAAAGAAGGTAGGTGTTCTAAGCCTTAGCGTCCAGGGTAAGCAGACACTTAGGGCAAGAACTGCACTAATGAGTGGAATTCTCATTTAGAACAGCGACAGGTAAGATCTTCACCTGCTATAGGTGGGCAGTCTTGGAGCCACAAGTGTATTTGTTACTAGAAGTATAACAGTGATGGGACTGCTTCCCCTACTGGGGCAGAAATACGGTTATGTTGAACAGTTGGCACACGTTTCTGATACTGATAATTTAAGTACATAGAGACTGTTCATTTGGCCAATATTCATTGAGTAGTTGTGTTCCTGGCACTCTTAACAAGGTCCTGGAGACTCAAAGATAAATCATTTAGTCCTGTCCTCAAAAATTCTACAGTCTAACAGAGAGGCGAATATTTGACCAACCAATAATTATATGTTAAGTTCTGTAGGGCACTTTGAATAGTAAGCTATGAGTGTACAGAAGAATACTTGATTCAAACAAATGCTGATCTTTCTCGGACTCTTGGAAGTTAAGTATACAAATAGTTATAATAACATGCTCATTTTCTTTCAGAAGCTTTATAGGGGCATTTAAAAAAAAGATTACTTGAGAGAAATGTACAAGATTTTTCTAACACGATATGTAAAAAATACTAGAGCAGAGGGAATGAAGGTAAAGCAGTCGGTTGCTACAGTAGTAAAGTTGTAAGATGCTGAGAAAAAAAGATACAGGATAGTGTCTGTGGAAGTTGCAAGGAAAGTGGATTTAAGACCATGGGACGTGGCAAAGAGCAGTTTGAAGAAGTGAGGAGAAAAATTTGAAGGACAAATTCTTCATATTGGTAATATATTCATGCTGGATAGTACAAAGTCTTCTTAGGCAAAAACTTTTTAGATATCCTCTGTGGGTAATTAAAATTCTCTTACTTTGAGGATAGTTTGGGGGAGATGCACAGAGTAGTCAAGTTCCATTCAGTACTAATTCTTAATAAATGTGGGTGTGAAGTTAGATAATATAACCTTCAACCAAAGAAGCATCACATTTTCTCATAGGAAATAATTTGGGGGTGTTTGTGGGAGGAAGCAGGAGGTGGTTAAGTAATTGAATATCACTGTATGATGGGCAACTGTGTTGGTTTTAAAAATAATGTTTTGGAAGAACATTTAATAAATGATTTGGGAAATTCTTATGATTTTTTTTAAAAAAGACTTATGACATTAAATGGAGGTTGGGAAATGTGTTTGAGTTTGTATGTGAATGTAGAAAAAACTACGTGGGTATATATCAGTTGTTAATAATAGTTATCTTTGTATAATATGGTAATTTTAACTTTCTTATTTACACTTTTTAATTTTGTCTCAATTTTCTACAGACATCTTTCTTTCATAAATAGGGGGAGGTTTATTTTGGTTTTTTTGTTTGTTTTTAAAGTGGACTCTACGCCAAACATGGGGCTTGAACTCATGACCCCAAGATCAAGAGTTGCATGCTGTATAGACAAAGCCAGCCAGGTGCCCCTAGGGGGAGTTTTGCGGGGGGGCGGGGGAGGTTCAGGTGAGTTGTTTTTAAAGCTTTCTTGAATGCCTTATATTCTAGTTCTAGAAATAATTTTAAATGAATTCCAAGAATATTTAGAACAATGGCAGCATCACTGAAATTGTAGCTCTCAAACAGAAATACTTAGGTAACTTTAGTTTTTATATTTAAACTCTGGTATGTTTTTCAAAAGCCTTTCTCATAGTTCTGTAGGTATAGCCTCTATATTTATACTCCTCGGTTCTTCAGTAAAATCTCATAGCTAAAGATGGTTATAATTTAATTTCTTAGGACTACCTTATGGCATTATCTCTACAACAAGAGCAGCAGAGCCAAGAGATCAATTGGGAACAAATACCTGAAGGAATCAGTGATTTAGAACTAGCAAAGAAACTCCAAGAAGAGGAGGATAGACGGGCTTCTCAATATTATCAGGAACAGGAACAAGCAGCAGCAGCTGCTGCTGCTGCTTCTACACAGGCCCAGGTAAAAACTATTGTTCTGATTCTTAAATACAATGATCGCTTTAGCAACAAAGAAATTTGTACTGAGATAAATATTTTTAAATTCGGTATTGACTCTTGAGTTATGTTAGCATTTTAGCACCCATGGTTTTATGGCATTGTCATAAGTTTATTATCTTAATATATTTCTCATTTAGTGAAATTATTTCTCCTGAGTTTCTGATGGCAAGATTTTTCAGTTTTTGTTTTTTGTTTTGTTTGTTTTGTTTTTTAAGTAGGCTCCACGCCCAGTGTGGAGCCCAACGCGGGGCTTGAACTCACGACCCTGAGATCAGGACCTGAGCTGAGATCAAGAGTCGAAGCTTAACCGACTGAGCCACCCAGGCGCCCCTTCAGTTGTTTTTGTTTTTGTTTTTAATTTAATTCCAGTGTAGTTAACATACAGTGTTATACCAGTTTCAGGTGTACAAAATAGTGATTTAACAATTCTATACATTACTCAGTGCTTGTCAAGCTAAGTGTACTTTTAATCCCCTTCACATATTCCCCCCATTTCCCCCTCTTCATCCACCTCCCTTCTGGGAAGCATCTGTCTGTTCTCTATAGTTAAGAGTTTATTTTTGGGTTTGTCTCTTTTTTTTCCCTTTGCTCATTTACTTTTGTTTCTTAAATTCCACATATGAGTGAAATCATACAGTATTTGTCTTTCTCTGACTGGCTTATTTCACTTAGTCTTATACTCTTTAGCTCCATCCATGTTGTTGCAAGTGGCAAGATTCCATTCTTTTTCATGGCTGAATAATATTCCATTGTGTATACCATATATTCTTTATCTATTTATCTATTGATGGACACTTAGGAGGCTTCCATAATTTGGCTATTATAAATAATGCTGCAGTAAACATAGCAGTGCATGTATCCCTTTGAATTAGTATTTTGTATTCTTTGGGTAAATGCCCAGTAGTGTAATTGCTGGGTCATATGGTAGTGCTATTCTTAATTTTTTGAGGAACCTCCACAGTAGCTGCATCAGTCTGCATTCCCCCCAGTGCATGAGGGTTCCTTTTTCTCCACATCCTTACCAACACTTGTTGTTTCTTATGTTTTTTAATTTAGCCATTCTGACAGATATGAGGTGATATCTCATGGTGGTTTTGATTTGTATTTCCCTGATGATGAGTGATGTGGAGTGTCTTTTCATGTGTCTGTTGGCCATCTGTATGTCTTCTTTGGAGAAATGCCTGTTTATGTCTTCTGCCCATTTTTAACTTTTTTAATTATTTATTTACTTAAAGGAGAGGGAGCGAATGGGAGGGAGAGGGAGAGAAGATCTGAAGCAGACTCTGCCCTGAGTGCAGAGCCCAACGTGGGGCTCTATCCCACGACTATGAGACTACAACCCAAGCCGAACCAAGAGTCAAACGCCCAACCGACTGAGCCACCCAGGCACCCCTTCTGCCCATTTTTAATTGGATTATTTGTTTTCTTGGTGTTGAGTTGTAGAAGTTCTTTATATATTTTGGATACTAACCCTTTATCAGATATGTCATTAACAAATACCTTTTCCCATTCAGTAGCTTGTCTTTCAGTTTTATTGTTTCCTTTGCTGTGCAGAGCTTTTTATTTTGATGTAGTCCCAATAGTTTATTTTTACTTTTGTTTCCCTTGCCTCAGGAGACATATCTAGAAAGATGTTATTATGGCTGATGTCAGAGAAATTACTGGCTGTGCTGTCTTCTAGTGTCTTTATGGTTTCAGGTCTCACATTTAGGTCCTTAATCTGTTTTGAGTTTATTTTTATGTATGGGGTAAGAAAGTTGTCCAGTTTCATTCTTTTGCATGCAGTTGTCCAGTTTTCCCAACACCATTTGTTGAAGAGACTTTTTCCTGTTGCATATTCTTTCCTCCTTTGTCAAAGATTATTTGACCATATAACTGTAGGTTTATTTCTGTGTTTTCTGTTCTGTTCCATTGATGTATGTGTCTATTTTTGTGCCAGTATCATACTGGTTTTTTGGTTTTTGTTTTAATTTAAGTAATCTCCACACCAAACATGTGGCTCAAACTCGTGACCCTGAGATCAAGAGTGGCATGCTCTTCTGGCTGAGCCAGCCAGGCATACTGTTGATTACTACAACTCTGTAATATAACTTGAAGTCTGGAATTATCAGACCTCCAATTTTGTTTTTCTTTTCCAAGATTGATTTGGCTATTCAGGGTCTTTTGTGGTTTCATGCAAATTTTAGGATTGTTTGTTCTAGCTCTGTGAAAAATGCTGTTGGAATTTTGATAGGGATCGCATTAAATCTGTAGATTGCTATGGGTAGTATAGACATTTTAATAATATTTGTTCTTCCAATCCATGAGCGTGGAATGTCTTTACATTTCTTTGTGTGGTCTTCAATTTCTTTCATCAGTGCTTTATAGTTTTCAGAGTACACATATTTCATCTCTTTGGTTAAGTTTTTTCCTAAGTATTTTATTATTTCTGGTGCAGTCGAATCAAATGTATTTTTTAAATTGTATATCCAAAGAATATAAACCAACGGGAACAAAGTCTTTTGTAACAATTAAAGGGCAGTGTGAAGTACTGCTGGGAAGAATGTAGACTTCAGAGCCAGATAGAAATGGATTGCATTTCCTGCTTCTGTCTACCCCTGCTAGTTGTAACACCTTGGACAAAGTCCTTTACCTCTCTTAGCCCCATTTTCCCTATCTTGAAAATAAAAGATAATGCTTAACTCTTAGGTTTGTGGGTAAGAACAAATAATGTTAGTACTTAACCCAATGTCTGACATGTACTAAGCATTCAACAAAGGTTATTAGTACCTTTCCACTTTTCCTAAATGTATTAAGCACTGAAAATGTGACTATTAAGTGGGTTACTTTATATTAAATCTCATTTTATTAAATGAAAAAAATATTTCCCTTCTTTTATGTTTAACTGTACCATGCCAGAACAGTTCCTTTGACCTGGGTATTTAAGAAAACAAGGTGCACTCTAAGGTCTGACGAAACTTTAAACATAGAGGTCTCCATTAACCTAAGTATTTCTATTCCTAATTCAAATATTGACTATTCCAAGCTTAAAAGTTAAAACCCACCATGTTATGAATAGCTTTTCATTAAAAACGTTCTCTTACATTCTCTTATTTCACAGAATACACTTATTTCACACTCAGAGTTCTCAGGATTTTTGTTTTTCTCCTTTAAAATCTGTTTTTTATAGTAATGAGGTTTATTATAGTTTAATGAGATCTTAGGGAACTTAATTTACCAAATGTCACCTTCTTTAACATTTTCTAAACTTTAACATAAATATTTCTTGAATTTGAGGTTTCAGGGCATATAATCCTATATATTATTTATTGTTTGAAATTCCATTTACTTAGAATAATGGATACATTAATTAGATCTATCTAAAATGACAGGAGCAGTTATTAAGATACCATGTAACATAACAAATCTGTATACAAATAACTTTTTTTCCCATTAATGATTCCTTTCACTCTTGTGGTTTTTCCTTCTAGATAACTATGATTAAGCACCTTAGAAAGTTGAGGTAATTTCTTCCTGTTTATTTTTCTTAAAGCAAAGCCAGCCAGCACAAGCCTCTCCAAGTAGAAGACAACCTGGGAATAGTGAACGTAAACGAAAGGAACCTCGAGAAAAAGATAAAGAGAAAGAAAAGGACAAAAATAGCTGTGTCATTTTGTAACAAGTGTTGGATTCTGTTGGATGCATCTATATGTCTTGAGAAACAAAACCACAGGAGGAAAGGAAGAAAAACCGATAAATACCGTCTGTGCCTGATTTCCCAATGGATTTTGTTCATGTTTTTCAGGGGAAAGGTTGTTACTTAGTTACAATCAGACTTTTTCAAGTCACACAGTACACTCTTTATGAGCTGGAGTTTCATGTTACAAGTTGGAAATGCTGTGTGTTATCATTCATGAAAAATACTGCACTTGTAGCCAAATAAGCAAATCACAGCAAATTTTGTGTCATAGTGACATTCATAACTCATATCAGTTAGTAAGCTATTTTATCTTCTGTTCTAACAATGAATGGAGGTAACTTATTTTGTCTGATTCCTTCCTGAAATCTAAATACTAGCACAATAGTTTCTGAAATTAATTTTTACAATGTTAAATTATGATCTAATCCAAGAGAAACCAGGGGTTTAATATAGGGATGTAAAAAGAAAAAAAACAAAAACAAACAACAAAAGAACCGAGACAAAAAATAACAAATCAATAACCCTTCATCCTGTATTGGACTAGTTCAGCCCTTGAACAGCTTTACCTTTCTTTAGGAATGTACATTTTAGATATTATCTTGAGAACTGATAACGGAGCTTGGGTTTAATTTAGATAGAAAAAAAATAATTTGTATTTCTTTTCCAATACCAAAAAATTGCATAACACTAATACTCATATTCTATCAAAATCAGATATTAATGACTTTGTAGTGTTGTGAAATTTTGAGGAATTTTGAAATCTTTAATATAGGTAACTTGTACTACAGTTACTATTTATTGACAGTGTGATAACTGAGTATAAGAAGGAAACCAGAGTGGATGCTAGGCCTTGTAAATATGGGATGTAGAAAAGCAGATAGTTCAATGTCTACCTTTTTCTAGAATTACCTTGAACCTTAAAATTTAAATCATGTTTATTTGCTGGAAAATTAAGTATACTTACTAAAGCCAACAAAAAAGCACATTTCTGAAAGGAAGAGAAATAATCTCTGAGTCTAGTGAAAAAGCATTAATAAAAATCTGTTTGAAAATAGATAAGAATTGGGAGGAATTTATGTAAAAGCAATCAGATTTTTTTTTTAACTTATGGGAACCAAATAGACCTATAACATCTTGTAGTGTTTATAGGATTCAGAAAGAAATATTTATTGAACTTTATTATGAGGCAACACATATTTTCCTGTATTTCTACTGTCCTTAATAGTCCTTTTTATATGCTTTATATTTAAAAGTTTGTTTTAGTTATTTTTGAAAAGACTGTTGCTGCTGCAAGTAGTTATGTGATTTACATTCTAAGCCTCAGTAAATTTGTTTAAGAGCATCTTAATCTAACCTGAGCATCCACTTGGAGAATGTTCATGTGGTCTAGAGTTCTTAAGCTATGTCCTTAACATTCTCCATGATCCAAGACCACTTATAGGATGAGTCTATATGTAAAAATAAAAAGTAAAGTCTTATTTATGGAAGGAATTATTCTAAGGGAAAAATCCAGGGTCAAGCTGTATCTTTTATGTCATGTCCTTCTGCATTGCATGTCTGGTTATGTTATACCATTTGTTTATTCCTTCAGATTTCCTATGCTAGCATGATAAATCATCATAGAATCTGGGGTATAAAACGTTGATACAAAATATTTGGTGAGTCTCTAGTTAATAACCTACAATATGTGTACATTGGTAAAGTAATCAGATGTACTACAGAATTCTCTGTTGGCTCAAGCAAGTTGACCTTAGTCCAAGTTTACTCTTGATATCACTATATTGGTTGAAGGAGGAAACTCAAACCTCAGGGTTTGTTTTTCCTAGAACAGATAGTAGTGATAGTGCATTATATTTTAATAAGAAAAAGCAAAACAGTAAATCCGGAGAAATTTTAAAAAGCGTATTTAAGGCATATTTTTCCATAATTATATACTTATCTATTTATTACCCTTGAAAAATATATGTGTAAAAGTTATTCTGTTATTTGTTACTGTCTTCTTAATTTGTTCCAAAGATAATACTGCCATTCTGCATTCCCTTTGGAAGAAAAAAAAACTCACTCAAAACCAGCAGTGCTGCTATCAGATAAGTAGATGTCAATGTATACTTATAAAAAATAACTAAAAAATGTCATGTGTTTGTTAATTCAACCTTTTTTCTATGTAATATTTCCAAGTCAGACTTTCTTACATTCCTGGAATTCAGTTTAATATACCAAGAGTAATAATGATAAAATGTTTGCTTTGATTACTGTGAGGAAAAAATTAAATGTTCAGTTCTATTAAAACAAACTTCTTGGAGATACTGCTTTCCCATCCTTGAAGGTTAGAGCCATTGTGTCTTTATTTTCTTACACTTTGCTCAAGGCAACAAATTATATATTCAGACATTTCATTGCTGGTTTGGGTACATTGGAATTCGATAGTGGTATATTCAAGTCTTTCCTTCAGTGTTTTGTAACTGTTACATGAACTGCTAGCAGAAGTTAGAACTGAAACATTTTTGTTGTTAATATTTATAGGCTAGATTAGGGACACATTTGCATCAACTAATCACTATTAGATTTAGCAAAAGAGATACAAATGAGTGGACATGGTCACTATACTTTATTGTACTTTCAAAGGCTATTTCTTAAGTTTAGTGACCAGTCTTTCTTACCAGTATGAAAATTGTCCTGGTGTGTAATCCCATTGAATTAATAATGCTGTGATTTACAATAGGTTATCAACACTTAGAAGTATGTGTGTGTGTGTGTGTGTGTTTCTGAAGCAAGGATCCATGATTTCTATTATCAAAGGAATCTGGGAACTTTCCCTCAAATTTAAGAATTACCATTTAAGAATACACACACATACATATGTACATACATACACTAAGCAGTTTAAGGCAGCTAAAATTTGCATTGGCTGCTTCCTGTAATATGCTGGTCCAATGTGCTTAGGTGATGTAACTTCTTCCATGTTTCAAGGTGTCAGTTTAGCAATCGAATGAGGCATAGATTGAAATTTAGGATTAGGTTTTGGAATATATTTTGTTTTAGTGTCTCATATTTCTAGTATTTGACAATTTATCCCATATTATATTTCAAATTCTTCCTCATACTTCTTGATCTTAGCTTAATTAAGCAAATCAGTATCAGAGATTAGTTGACTGAACCCAACATTAAATGCCATTTTGTACTTGCACAAAAACCTAATACTTTGTTTTTACTGAATCACCAGCTCAGGTCACTAAGAAAGATCTTGAGAGGAAAGAGGACTAGAAGTCAAATAGATATTTAAATAAAGAATTAGTCCCTATATTAATGTTGGCATATGAAGAAGATATCTGTCAAGTCTTACTGGAGAAATAATCAAGGCGAGAATTTCCAGGGCTGTCCTCTAACTCATTTATTAAAAAAAAAATTCTTTTAAGCAAAAAAGCAAATTGATTATTACATTTCACTTAATTTCCTATTAAATATACCAGTTATTTTTAAATATGATGGAAAAATTAACAGGCTTTACCTATCATACAATACTTGGGCATACAACTTAAACTATTATTGTAAACTTATTAATGCTTGATAAAATAACATGGAGGCATTAAAGATAGTACATAATTTGTATTTTAAGGAACTACAAATGTGGAAATGTTGGAAGTCTGAACTGTTTTAGGTCTAAAAATCTGGCTTTTATCTTTCCAAAAGGGGCAAACTTTCTGTGCCTCAGTTTATTCTAAATATGTAAAAGATGCTCGTTTTTTTAGTGCTTTATACTCCTGAATAAAGGGCATAGTATAAGCTCAGAATATGACTTAAATAATCATAAATATTATAGTTTTTGTTCTTGAATGTGCAGATCTTTTTCCCAATGACAATATTTCTTAAAGTCAGTTTTTTTTAATGCTGTTAAAATTTGTAGAATTATCTTGTCTTTGAGTATGGCATCATCTCTTCCCAAAATGTATTTTGTGGTTGCTTTTGTGTTTTGATCAAAATTGAGATTATTTTGAGAGTATAAGAGCATTAAAAGTCTATTTTTTCCAGTATCTTTCATATATTTAAATATTTAGATTCTCTTTGCCCAAAGTACAGTGGTATCAGGTTACTAATACATATATGTAAACTTTTGTGCATGGATGGAATTCATTTAGGTCTGTCAAGTACTGTCACTTTTAGAGCTATTTGAATTATATCTGTTTTTAGGTATAAAATGTTATTTGATAATGTGCAGATAAATTCCTTTTAGAAAGTGACTGAAAATCAGAGTTCTTCGGTTCTCTGGGAATATAGTGGTGTTTGTTTTGTTTTACTGTGATATCCAACACTTCTACAGCTGCTGAGAAAATCTTATGAAGAACTGAGGTAACTTTTTTCAGGTCACACTTTAAAACAAACTAAAGTTTAAAATCGAAGCCTTCTTGGCCAAAAAAATTGCAAAATAGAGATAATGGAGTCTGAGGGACAGACTGCAGGACCCAGGTAATTTTAACTTCTTTTGAAGATCTATCTGAATTTTAGTTCACACATGTCTGTTACTTAATCCCAGTGTCTCTGTTATTAGAAATCAGAGTTTAATACACTGTGAATATGCATATGTATTTTTAAATAAAGTATCCTAGTTTCTAATTTCACTTTTCTGATCTGAAAAAATTAAACTCAAAAAATTGGGTCTAAGTCTTCAATAATAGCTGAACTATTATCAAGTTCAGCTTTGTCCTACTGTCCTGAGATTTAGACTTCTCTGCGTATAACTGGTATTTTTGAGAACATGGTACTATCCCAGATAAGGTATTGAAATACCATGGCAGAAATACAAAACCTAAACTATAAATCACTGTAGATTTAAAAGACAAAATTCTAGTATTATTCTACAATGCATCTACTTTATTTGATATTAATTTTAAGAATTTTTTTCAAGTAACTTGATAATTTGTCATTAACTTTAAAAACTTTATATCCTTCCTCACTGCAGTATACTGCTTTGAGAGGCAGAGATGCCTCCTAGATTAGAGGATGCACAAAGCAAAATTCTTCTGAAGGTGATGCTGGCTTCTTTGGGTCTAGTAGTCACACCTTTAAATAGGAAGTCAGGAAATTGAAATGCCCATTTAAATTCCCAAATCAGTGACCTGTCCAAATGGGCATTATCACTGAAATACCACTATAGAGTAGTTCTAACTAACAATATGTTTAAAGGCTAAGATTGGCATTTAATCTTTGAAGATCTGTCTGGTGTATCTCAATTTTGTCAGTTTTTATTCCTTTTAAGTATTTTTTTTTTTAAGATTTTTATTTATTTGTTTAACAGAGAGAGAGAGCACAAGTAGGCAGAGCAGCAGACAGAGGGAGAGGGAGAAGCAGGCTCTCTGCCGAGCAGGGAGCCCGATGCGGGGCTCGATCCCAGGACCCTGGGATCATGATCTGAGCCGAAGGCAGCCGCTTAACGACTGAGCCACCCAGGCGCCCTCCTTTTAAGTTTTAGTTGTATGAGGTAATCATTTTTTTTTCCCCCAGAGTACATAGGATATCACAGCTCTACAGATTTTTAAAGATGGGAATTTGAAAAATGGTTTTTGTTAAAAAGCAATTTTCCTTAGTAAAATGACAACCACTGTTTTCACAGGCCCACACATCACAAGTAGGACAATATGATAGAAGACTGATGTATGATAGCTACACAACAGTCAGCAAAAGGGATAATCTTCACTTGTGACACTTTAGAGGTACCTGAAAGTCATTTCCTAAAGTTAGTGCATGTGAGTCTTTTTCCTTGAATTGTGCAGAATTATTGGATGTGGCCAATTTTGGGGGGAATAGCAAGTGAAGTAGTATCATGACTACAGAGCAAGTGATCTTGAAATGTAGTAAGAAGAAACAAGTTTTCTTCCTCCACTTTAATGTCCAACTACTTGGGTCAGGAAGTTGCTATGACATATCATAGATCTCTTGGGTTAGGCCAAGAGTGGCCAATTGAAATAGAGTTCTTAAAGAGTTTAAATATACAGGGTATGAGTGCTTGTTCTATCCTCCTCCTTTTCTTTGCTCTCTTAACGCCCTTTCTACTTCTAACTCATTCATTTTGCTTTATGACCAGTTTTAATTGCAATGTGAGAATAATAGCAACTGTAGAGACTGATACAAAACAGCGTTGAAATACATTTTTCAAATGACACCTAAAAGCATCTACCCAACTTAGAATTGAACTGAATTTCTATGAAAGAAAGTTACTTGTTTTAAATGCTAATTATGTTAAAACTATTTAATTCTAAAAACTATGTCTTAAACAAGTTTCAAAAGTTTCACTTTTGGAGGATATTCCTAAAAAATGCATATTGAACATAGATGGGAAAGTATAAAATATTTCTGACAATTATTCAGTATTATTCAACATTTAATTTCATGTTTGTTACTGTACCACAAGGATAGTGTCATTCTTGGATTAAAATGTTGGATTTTTTTGTTAATATACTTAAAACTGTAACCAGTGATAACACCCTCAGTATTTTTTATTATAGATTATATTTTATTTCAATAAACTTTGATATTTAGACCAAACAGTCTTTCTGCTATGTATATTCATCTCATTACGGTACTTCTTACAAAGTGGGGAAATGGAGAGATGGGGAATTGACATATTGATTCACATTTACCTAGGATAGAATATTTGGACTAACTCTTGATAAAGACAGATTTTTACCCACCCGAGGCAATGAACAAAAAAACAATTAACTCGGGGCACTTGGGTGGCTCAGTCGTTGAGCGTCTGCCTTCAGCTCAGGTCATGATCCCAGGGTCCTGGGATCAAGCCCCACATTGGGCTCCCTGCTCGGCGGGAAGCCTGCTTCTCCCTCTCCCACTCCCCCTGCTTGTGTTACCTCTCTCGCTGTGTCTCTCTGTCAAATAAATAAATAAAATCTTTAAAAAACCACACACACAATTAACTCTAAACCATACAATAGTTAACTACCTGACCCCAATGGTAGATTCATTATATCTGATACTTTTATCCTCTTGGAAGACTAAGTTAGAGCTGAGAAGGGGTCACTTTATCTTTATACCAAGCCAACCCTAATGTAAAGTTTCTGTCCAACAATTTAATGTCCAGACTGGCTAATGTCTGACATTTCTGTGAAAGTTTTCTTAGACACCACAGCCCTCTAAGCAGAATTAATCATTACATACAGTGTTTTGTTGACCTCCCCTTGTTATAGCACTTAAGCTAGACTGTGCGCCTTTTAAGAACAGGAATCAAACTTTACTCATCTTGATTTTCTTGGCACATTACATGATCATTGGCACTTGAAATGAATTTGAATATCTATTTAGAGGAATTTTTAAAGATCTCTCTATTATATAGTTATTGCTTGCCTGTCCTTTAAGTAAAGTAAGTAAATCAAGTTATTGAATTGGTTTTCTCCTATAGCATAAAGTTATGTAGATAGAGGGAACTAAAATTCCTAATCTTTTATCCCTGCCTCTGATTTTCCTTGGGCATCATCCTGCATTCTCCCAGAGTCAATGGAAGAATGCTTAGGGATCAGCAGCTTCACAACTGGAGTAAGCAGCATTGTTCTTCCCTGTTTCATACCTTCCCTTGCAGGGTCTCTTTCCTCACTCTGTATTATCCTATGAAGTAGGCACCTATTAATTTGTTGGAGCTGAGATTTGAAGCCAAGCAGTCTGACTCCAGAGGCTGTGCTCACAAATATATCTGGAAAGGGACATATAGGTCTAGGCCAGGTCTGTATTCAAATTCTGACCCTGGACTTTTGAAGTCACATCTTTTTCAAACCTGCAGAAATCTGAAAAATCAGGCCTTTTTTGTACTCTCTAGTCTTAGAGCAAGTTAATACTACATAGCCTGTTATTTCTAAAATGTCATAATTTATACCTTGTTACAAAGTTTAAAGTTACTACATATAAAGTATAAGATATATAACAAACAATAAATTGTAACAATAATAGACTAGGGGAAACTTCTTTTTTTTTTAACCGAGCCAAGAACTTTAAGAAAGGCTTGATTAAGGAGCTTAAGAAGGCTACTTAAGCCCCATGAAAGCAAACATTTTTCTTTCCCCTCCAGATATAATGTTGATCCTGCTATAAGGGCTGGGATCAGCCTGCACTCAGAATGACCCATAGTGAAAAATGTGCAACAAGGAAACTTAATACATAGAATAATATAATAATGAATTCTAAAACTGTAAATTGTGGCATGTTCTCCTTGAAGACTAGTTTGGTTATGCATTTATCAAGAATAAAATATACCAGGACACCCAGGCACCTAGACTTTATAGGAAGGACCATATTTGGAGTAAAGTTATGACATTACATTTTAAAAGTAAGCACAAGTCAGGAGCAGAGGACAAAGAGTCAGCCAGACCAAAGTCAGCATCTTCAACAAAGGGTCAGGGAAGAAAAAATAATTTTCCTTCTACCCTTGTAAGTTCTTAGCTTGAGGCCCCTGTAACATAAGACAGATTAAGAAGAAAGAAACATTTATTAACATGTGTACCTCATGTACACGTGGGAGATAGGGAAAGATGCATTAACTCTCAGAGGTTGCTTAGAATTCTGGCTTCAATACCATTCCAGATAAAGATGAAAGAAGAGTGTGGGGGAGATCAGGTCAGGGGAAGTAACCAGGAAAAGTATAGTAAACAAAAGTAAGGTTTGTTATGCATATTAAAATCTTTAAGTTGGTGTCTTCTCTACTGACCAGATTCTCGTGATTTAGTCATTCTCTTTCTGAAATAAAGGAAGATTTATTTTATAAATTTAAATTTCCATTACAAAAGGGTAATTTCTATTCTGTTTTCAGAACTCCTGGGTCTGCTGTTTCTCAAAATAATCAGCTCAAAATAATACAAAGAAGCATATTTTGGGGTGGCATATTCTGTTACCCTTCAGGCAACTCAGGCAAAGGCTGACACATCACCTTTAAAGAAGGCTGCTGCTCCTGCTTTTTTTTAAGTGAGCTCTAGGCCCACTGTAGGGCTTGAACTCTTGACCCCAAGATCAAGAGTCTCATGCTGTACTGACTGAGCCAGCCAGAGGCCTCCAATGAAGTCTTCATTCGTTGGAGGACTTTTCTTTGGACTGCCAACATTGCTAAATAAGTCACTATAAATAAAAGGTGATAAGGTAAATGAAATATAGTAGCCCCTGAATCCTGGCATTCCACTGAATGTCCTAGTCCTTGGAACAGGGAGCTCACTGGTTACTACTAATTATTATAACAACCATACTCTACATTTATTAGGCTATTACTATGTATCAGACATTGCACTGTTTATCTTCTTATTCTTAATCCTGATAACAGTTTTAGGAGACCGATACTGTCACAGTTAAAGAAACAGAAAACTTGAAAGATTATGCAACTTGCAAAAGGTCACTGCTACTGGCAATGTTGACATTTAAAACTAAACCTGTCCTACTCTAAAGCCTGTTCTCTTACCTCAAAATTATGGAAGCAGTCACACATTTGCATGCCATTCTTGACTCCTTTAATGTGGAGAGTAGTTATCAGTCCTCCTAGACTTAAGTATTTGTTTAAGACTATCCTTGGCAGAATCCGAATCTCAGCATAGGGAGGCTACAGGAAATCCTTTAAAGTCACATTCTGGGACGAAGCATTTGAAACCTTGCCTCATCAGTGTTTTGGTTTTTTTTTACCATTGGGGTGGAACTGGGGTACTAGATCATCCATTAAAAGGTCAAAGGTATGGCCTGAAATTTTCTGAAGCTTCTCTTTCTGTGCTTTTGATTTACCAAAAGAATAGTTTCAGTCAAATTGAAAAACTGCAGCTTTCTAGAGGTGGTTTATTCTACGGATAGGATTTGGAGTCCAAATTAAAATGTGCCTTGTTTGTATTTAATCACTGCCTTTTAGATTTATGCCCCTTTATAAAGATTTCATTCCACAAAATTCAGTAAGCTTTTGCATACCTAACGTATTCTAATAACCTTCCTTTTTAAGCCACTTACTATATTTCTGAAATTTTCATTTACATTTCAGGTATCCAATCAAAAATTTAAATCTGGGATCAATAAGATTTCTCTTCTAGATGTGTCATGGTTTTATTCTTACAGTTAGGTCTGTAATCAATTTCAAGTTAAACTTTCTTTTTTTTACTGAATAAATTTGATGCGTAACATTGTGTAAGTTTACAGTGCGCAGCATGTTGATACATTTATAGGATTGCCGATGTAGTGCTATTTATCAGATTACATAATTATAGTATAATATTATTATCTATAGCCATACTGTGTATTAGATCTATAAGGCTTATTTTCTACTTGTTAAAGTTTGTACCCTTAAAGACTATCACTCTTACCCCTATCCTCTGATAACCACCATTTACTTTCTGTTTTTTACAGTTTTAACTTTTTTAGATAAAACATATAAGTGATATCATACAGTACTTGTCATCCTTTGACTTATTTCACTTAGGATAATGTGCTCAAGGTCCATCCATGTTGTCAAAAATAGAAGGATACCTTCTTTCTTCATGACTGATTAATATTTTATTGTGTTTATGTACCACATCTTTTTTATCCATTCATCTGTTGTTGGGCATTTGGATTGTTTCCATAGCTTGGCTGTTGTGTATAATAGTGCAATAAACATGAGAGTGCATATATGTTGTCAAAATCCTCTCTTCATTTCCTTTGGGTATATACCCAGAAGTGGAATTGCTGGGTTATTTGGTAGATCTATTTTTAAGTTTTTGAAGAACCTCCATATTGTTTCCCATAGTTGTTGGCCAATTTACATTCCCACCAATAATGTATAAGGCTTCCCTTTTCACCACATCCTTGCCAACACCTGTTGTCTCTTATCTTCTTAATGATGGCCATTCTTTTTTTTTAACTTTTTAAGATTTATTGATTTGAGAGAGAGGGCAGTGGGGAAGGGCAGAAGGGGAGAGAGAGAGAGAATCCCAAGCAGACTGCACTGAGCCTGACATGGGGCTCGATCCCATGACCTTGAGATCACGACCTGAGCCAAAACCACGACTGGGACGCTTAACTGACTGCACCATACAGGCACCCCTTGATGATAGCCATTCTAACATGTGTGAGGTGATAGCTCTTTGCAGTTTTGATTTACATTTCTCTGATGATTAGTGATGTTGGCCATCTTTACATGTGTCTGTTGGCCATTTTGATGTCATTTTTTGAAGAAATGTCTACATAGTTCTGCCCATTTTTTAATCAGATTTTTTGTTGTTATTGAGTTGACGGAGTTCTTTATATATTTAGGTAGTAACCCCTTATCCAATATATGGTTTGCAAAAATTTCTCCCATTCTGTAGGTTGTCTTTTCATTATGTTAATTGTTTCTTTTGCTATACAGAAGCTTTGAGTTTGATGTAATCCTATTTGTTGATTTTTGTGTTGTTTGCATTTGGCATCACTCCCCACTCCCAAATTATTGCCGATACAAATGTTGATGACGTTCTTTCCCTACATTTTCTTCTAGTAGTTTTATGGTATCAGGACTTAGGTTTAACCCTTTGATCCATTTCAAGTTAATTTTTGTGAGTGGTATGAGAACGGGGGTCCAATTTCATTGTTCTGCTAGTGTTAATCCCATTTTCCCCACACCATTTGTTGAAGAGCCTATCCTTTCCCCCATTGGGTATTCTTGGCTTCCTTGTTGAATATTACATATGACATGATTTAATTCTGGGCTCTTTATTCTATTCTATTGGTCAGTGTGTCTATTTTTGTGCCAGTACCATACTGTTTTTATTACTATGACTTTGTACTGTACTTTGAAATTTGGAAGTATGATACCTCTGGCTTTGTTCTTTTTTCCCCAAAATTCTTTGTCTATTTGGGATCTTCTGTGGTTCCAAATAAATTTTAGGATTGTTTCTTCTATTTCTGTGAAGAATGCCTTTGGAAATTTGACAGAGATTGTGTTCAATCTGTAGATAGATGGCTTTGAGTATGGCCATTTTAACAACATTAATTGTTGTGAACACAGAATGTCTTTCCATTTGTTTGTGTCTTCTTCAGTTTCTTTCAGCAAGGTTATTTATAGATCTTTCACTTCCCTGGTTGAATCTATTCCTAAGTATTTTATTGTTTTTGGTGCTACTGTGAATGGGATGTTTCTCTTTAATTCATTTTCAGATGCTTCATCATTATGTAAAGGAATGCAACTGATTTCTGTATGTTGATCTTATATCCTGTCACTTTACTGAAATTGTTGCTTAATTCCAACAGTTTTTTTATTGATTCTTTGGGATTTTCTATACATAGGATAATATCAGTACATAATGACAACTTTACTTAGTCCTTTTTGATTTGGGCCTTCTATTTCTTTGTCTTGCCTACTTGCTCTAACTAGACTTCTAGTACTATATTAAATAGGAGTGGTGAGAGTGGACATCCTTCCATTGTTCCTGATCTTAGAGGAAATGCTTTCACTTTTTTCTCCATTAAGTATAATGGTAGCTATGGGTCTGTAGTATGTGGCCTATTTATTATGTTGAGGTATGTTCCTTCCATGCCCAGACTGTTAAGGGTTGTTATCATGAAGGGATGTTGTATTTTGTCAGACACTTTTTCTGTATCTATTGAGATGATCATAAGGTATTTGTATTTCACTTTATTGCTGTGAATGTATTACATTTATTGATTTCTGTGTGTTGAACCATCCTTGCATCCCAGGGATAAATTCCATTTGGTCAGGGTGTATAATGCTTTTAGTGTATTCTTGAATTCAGTTTGCTAATACTGCTGAATTTTTGCATCTATATTCATCAAGGATATTGATCTGTAGTTTTTCTTACAATATCCTTATCTGGTTCTGGTATCAATGTAATGCAGGCTCATAGAATGAGCTTGGAAATGTTCCCTCCTCCTCCCTGATATTCTGAAAGAGTTTGAAGAGGATTGGTGTTAATTCTTTAAATGTTGGGTAGAACTCTCAAGTGAAGCCATCTGGTCCTAGCTTTTTCTATGATGAGAGATTTTGGCTTACTGATTTAATCTCTTTCTATTTCTTCCTGATTCAATCTTGATAGGTTGCTTCTAGAAATGTATCCATTTCTTCTAGATTATGTAATTCATTGGCATATCATTGTTCACAGTAGTTTCTAATGACTCTATTTAATTTCTGTATTATCAGTTGTAATGTCTCCTCTTTCATTTTTAATTGAGTCTTCTTTTTAATTCCTAATTTCTTTAGTTATTGTAGCTAAAGGTTTGTCAGTTTTGTTCATCTTTCTGAAGAACCAGTTCTTAGTTTTGTTGATCCTTCTATTGTTTTTCTGATCTTTATTTCCACTCTGATTTTTACTTTTTTAAATTATTTATTTATTTATTTATTTATTTATTTATCTGAGAGAAAGAATGGGAGACAGAGAGCATGAGAGGGGGAGGATCAGAGGAAGAAGCAGACTCCCCGCTGAGCAGGGAGTCCGATGCGGGACTCGATCCCGGGACTCCAGGATCATGACCTGAGCCGAAGGCAGTTGCTTAACCAACTGAGCCACCCAGGCACCCTCCACTCTGATTTTTATTATTATCTTCCTTCTAACTTTGGTTTTGTTTTTTTTCTAGTTCATTGAGGTGTAAAGTTAGGTCATTTGAGATCTAATTTCTAAATATATATATTAATATTATATGTAATATATATTATATGTAAATGTATAATAATTTATAGATAAATATAATTTTTTTTAAAGTAGGCTCCATGCCCAACATGGGGCTTGAATTCATAACTC